TGCGGCACGGGGTGCAGCAGCTGGGCAGCCGTTGAAATCGGATGGGTGTGTTAGAAGAGGGGTGTTGATCCCCACCATCAGGGTTTTCTAAAGAAATCAATATCAAACCCTTCCAGCCCAGGAGCCTGGTCCATCGTAGGTGGAGAGAGATCCACATCCCGACGGTTATTTGGTAATGAGTATAATCCTGGCAGAGAAGTCGTACCAGGCCGATGGTCTGCTTTGCCTGGCAGTCCCTACAAGCGAGCAGCGACATCCAGAAGCTGCAGAAAATGCCAACGAGACCAGGGTCCTTGGGTACCCCGTGCGTTACGTGGTTGCAAATATTACCGGGGCGGCTGAGCAGGATTCCTCGCTCTCCCTCCTTGCCACAGGGACAGCATCGTGCTCGTTATCGAGGACAACATCCCCATCCCCATTACCAATTTTCCCTCGAAAAAGAGCGTACAGGCTCTGGAAAGAGCAGGCACGCGGGGCTGAGCCCCGCTGGCAGCCAGCCGGAGGTCTCATGTCCCGTAAAGCCGGGCTCTGAAGTTTGTCGACCTCTTTTTTTTTTTCTTTTTTTTTTCTTTTTTTTTTCTTTTTTTTTTCTTTTTTTTTCTTTCCTGGCGGAGGAGGTTGTGCAGCAGGAAAGCAGCTCAACCAACTTCCTCACCAAGCTAAACCCGGCTTCCTGCCCCTCTGCCCGCCCCGGGGGACAGCCAGCTGCCGGGGTCACACCGTCACTCACCGCAGGATGCGTCTGAAACGCTCCGAACAATAAACCCAGCCGGGCGCGGGACATTCGCCTTTTCACAGCAGCGGCGGCCACTTCCTGCAGCCCTTGCTCTGGCAGGTGGAGGCAGGAGAAGCCGCCTTTTGGATGCTGCTCGCTCGGAAACGTAAAAACCACCCCCCGGCTTTGTAAATCCCCCCGTGCTCGGGGAGGAGCCGCCGCCGCCGCTGCTAATCCGGAGAAGCCACGTGAAAAAGCGTTCCTCTGGGAAAACACCCGGTGCCTGGCAGCACCCCCCGTCCCCTCTACCCACGCACGAGCTTTTTCCGTATCCTGAGTAACTCGGGTTTGCAGCCGCCTGTCGGGAGCAGGATTTGACCCAGGCTGCGATATTTCACGGTCCCTTGCCTGGCGCGCTGCTGGGCGTTTCTCTGCTCCCCTTTCTGCTCGTCCTTTGGGAAATTAAGTGTTCAGTGGTATTCGCACATCCATCGTGCACCAGGTATTTGCACTTGAGGGCATTTAAAAAATAATCTAGCTGACCTGCTGGCATGTGGATGGGCTGCATTTTGCTGCTACTGGTGAGGTGGGAGATCGTGACTGGGAAAAAGTGAGCTCAGCCTTCATAGCACGGACTTTTCTTCTGTTGACTCAAGATAAGTAGTGAACGCCCCTCGCGGAGCTGGGTGTCTCCTCTCCGCCGGCCCTGCACAAGGTATAATTTCTGGCTGTTTACATTCCTGCCGCGGCGCTGAGCCAGAGCAGGGAGGTCCCGGGCGGGCGCTGGCAAGACCTCCCCGGAGCCGGCCGGCTCAAAGGCAACGCCATCCCAGCTGCCCGTCCCCTTCCCCGCGGCTCCGATGTCCCCAAGCAGCGTCCCTGCCGCGGGCGGGTCCCGCAGTCGGGGTTGGGGGGCTCCTGGCTTGGCCCCC